TCATACCTACAGGAAAGAATAATATAAAAATAACACTGCCACTGAAAAAGTTACAAAAACGAGCTAAAGATGGCACACTATCCGACGGAAAAATGTTCATGATCAGATGGGTTGAACGATATTTAGTACGACCTAAAGGAAACCCATTTAATGATATGTGCATTGGAATGTTTTGCTCTGAATACAGACTAATGTCGACATTGGAAAATCCAAAATTAAACAATGAAAAAAACCCTGCTTATGAACTACAGAATGATCTGGGATACATAATAAAACGATCAAGGACATCACCAGCAATAATAAGATATGCCAGATTCTCAATGACAAAAGATCCAGAAAACTATTATCTCAGCAGTCTACAATTATTTCTGCCATATCGAATGGAAGCACAATTGAAACCTCCAGGATTTGAAACACATGAAGCATTTTACAAATCAGGATCCGTAAAGTTATCCAATGAACTTGTACAAGTGCGCGACATTGTTGAAAAAAATAGACAACAATTTGAGACAGATATAGATATTGACTCCTTAGCAGAAACTGTAAACCACTGTGGAGATTTTGAGGATGCATGCGCAAGAATTGCTCCAGAAACAGAACAAGACAGAATTGAAACCGAAATATATAGAGTTGAAAATAAAGGAATGGACGACGAATGTGAAAATGAACCACAAATACCTGATTTGATATCTGATAAAGGAAACAGTGAAAGAATTCGTCGTGAATCAAACATAACAGGAATTTCTAAATCTGAAGCAATCCCATTATTAAGATCTTTAAATTGTATACAGTCTCGAATTTTTTATAAAGTACGTCAATACTGCTTAGAAAAAGTACATGGGAAAAATCCAGATCCATTAAGATTATTTATCACTGGATCTGCTGGTACTGGAAAATCACATTTAATCAAATGCATCAAATATGAAGCTTCGCGGATTTTGGAAAAATGGCTGGCGATTTAGATGACGTGACAGTTTTTGTAACAGCACCAACAGGAGTAAGTGCATTTAATATCTCAGCATCTACA